TGACGTAAATTCATAATTGTTTAAAGTACTCAAAATACGTCAGGTGTTGTTATGGGTAACACCATTCATTAAACAACCACTATGCTATGCATGAATTATTTGTGGAATTCCTTGGCGTAAATGCTATATACTCATTCTATAGATCCAAAAGAAGACATGAAAGGAAACGTTTTAAAAGGGCAGTATATTGAATTTATGGATATTCATTGCTTTTATATTGATTATTTGTATATCGTATTAACTTGACATTTATTATTTTTGCAATTTTATTTCTAAACCACATTCATAATGGAGCAGAAATATAAGTATCTCGGTTGGAATGATTTCGGAGTTGAGTATTTGACGACTAATTGTGATAAAACCAGGAAAGTGCGGTTCGCCTCATGGTTTGGCTATACAATCAATGTAAATGGGGAGCGCTATGGTTGCATGAGCAACATGTTCGAAATATATAAGCTGGTTTGCAAAAAGGCTTTGCGACAATCTTCTAGTACAATCTTATGAGAAACTTATGGGCAATTTGAAAAGATACCCGATGTGAGTATAATTGTTTGAATGATATTGCTTCATCCATAGTATCTGATGATAATTGAGAAACAAATTTCACTCATCTGAGATTTGGGCCCTGGTTGGTTAACTTGCAATGTGTGAGATTTGGGGCCCAGTTGGTTAATTTGTAATGTGAGAGATTTGGAAGTCCGATCAATGAGATTCTAACAACAAATTATATTGAATAATTTCACACTACCGACTCACATCTGAGATTCGGGCCCAGTTGGTCAATTTGTAGTGAGAAATTTGGGAATCTCATTGATGTGATATAAAAGGATAAATAAAATTTCATACTATTGATTCACATCTGAGATTTGGCTATTTTGTGGTGTATGAAATTTTAAGTCTGATGAATGGGATATAAAATGATAAATTATATATATATTTTTTCAAAGATTTAATCTCTTATTTTTTTAAAGAACAAACAGAGGACGCAATATATAACAACGGTCGAGGCTATAGGATCAATGGTTGGTTTAGACTATTGTGATTTCGGTTTGGTGATATATTTACCCATTACAAACGTCAATGTATTTCAGATTTCCCTCAAACTCGTAACCCTGATGGATATCAACCCTGTTTCTTCAAACAAACAAAAAATTGGAGAACGATTGGTAATATAGATATCTTTTTTTAGATGGTTCAAGTTTTTTACTTTTTTTATTCAATACTTTTATAGGATAAAATAATACAAGAAGGAGAATCAACCCATTTGTTTTTATTAAATAAGTTAAAGAAATCTTTTGTTGTTGATTGAGATTCCAATATAATTTTTGGAAAATTATTAAAAGAGCAAAAGAAGGACTTAAGGGAAATCATACGTTTGCCATACAATCAATTTGAAATGAGTCCTGCTGTTTCTGAATTAGTTAAACTTCTCTTAGAAAAATCCAAGAGCCTAAACAAAAGGGGAATGATGGTTTCGCTCCCACCTATACCAATGGATTTTGAAGGAGACAACGAAGAATTTGAAGATATATGCATAATGCATAAAATCGTAGACTCAATGTAGGTAATTGGAGCTCCTCTGTATCGATAATCAACTAACATCTAATCTCCATATTTTTACAGCCGGCATATCTGGTGCTACTATATGAATGACAACAAGGCTGAATATACGGAGGGAACATATATCGTTCGAATAGTGTCCAACTTTCTCGACCCATTGTTCTGCTACGAAAATACCAAACTTAAAATTATCTGGTAAGGTTCTAAATAATGTCTAGCCTTAGTAAAAAATTTATGAAATTCTATAACAAACTTTGCATGTGTCATAATAGGGCTGAAGAAGTTTCGGAGGCTTCTCAACGATGGATGGATGATTCTGGGGAACTCAGAGTCAGTCACAAACCTGATTTTTGGGTGAAGTCTTCGATTAATGCTGGTGATGTGGAAGTATGTCTTATGGAGGCTTTGCGTGTTCTTCCGACTGATAAAAAGATCTGTGATGACTGGGATAAGCTGATAAAGCTTATGAAAGACACTCACGTGCAGTTATTGAGGAAGCTCACTAGAGGAAGAGGTGGGGAAATGAAGGACCTGGAAGAAGATTTTAACAGAGTTCCAGTATTTGGTATCCAAGTTGCTGGTATGTAATGTCGCAATTGATTTTTTTTCCACTTATAAATAACCTTTCCTACTTTTAGGAGGGACCATGGCGTGTTGGGTTATGACTATGCCATTTGGAGCTTTCTACTTTGTTCAGCTTCTTGGATCAGTACAAATCCCTATGAATCGAGGCCAGTCTTCGCTTGCTGGATTTGTGAATGAATTATGAAAGTTGAGGGTAATCCTATCATCTTTTGACAGAATATGTGAGAGTTGGATGAACAAAGTCTTGGTAATTAATAGAATTATTTAATACGTAGGCAACCCTGCGGAATCATATCAGTATCATTAATAAGACTGTGGAAAAAGTTGATGGGTATTTATATAACATGGCTTTTTGCTCTCCACATTCTCTGGAAGATGCACCCCTTTATGGAGGAGAGTTAGTCACACCTAAGGTTGCGGGAGAAACTCCTCCAGAAATCAATCGACAGAGTTTCGACAGGTTACACATTAATTGTTTATTAGAGTTTCGGCAGAGTTTCGCATTTGGGGTTTTCGCCAATCATCAGAGTTTCGACAGGTTACACATTAATTGTTCATTAGAGTTTCGACAGAGTTTCGACAGTCATTAAGAGGTTTCGCCCACAACCTTAGTCAATAGTTATCACTCCATCACAAATGATACATTATCCTCAATTAACTCCTCAACAAATTATCCTACATACTCGATTATTGACCACTCTAATAGTTCAAATGTTGATTACCCCTGTTCTACAAGATCTAATATTGGTTCAAATGATTATTCTACAAGAACAAACACTGTTATCAATATTGATGATAATGATGATGATAATGAAAAAAATATCAATGAAGATCAAGGTATTGATTTATTGCTCCTTAATAATAAGAACTATATTATAATTTTTGTTAATGATGAAAATTATTTTGAATGTCAAAATTAGGAGTTATTCTTCATAATGAGCTCAAAAAATATTATAATGCTGGAAAAAAAGAAACTAGGATTGAAATTGATACTTATGATTTAATAAGTGAAACATTATTTCATTGGGCCTGTACTGCAACCAAGATAGATATTTTTCAAAATCCGTATTTCATTGTGCCATCAGAAGAGTAAGTTTTAAAATATTTAGTTTAATAATTTTATTTCATGATTTGTTTATACTCAACAAACTTGAATATATAGTCTAACCATTGTTTTAATGAAATTGCATTTAAAATTCATCGTTAATGAAACTAACATTTTTATGTAACAAAAATTTAAAAAATTCGAATTTAATGTTAATTAAATTTATTATTTATTTAAAAGTGTTATAGATACTGGTGGAGGTTTTAGGGATGCTACTCATAAATTATGGGAGGATTTAAGGAATAAAGGATTAAAGAACAATTCTTTAGAATTGATTGGAAATTACATATTTTTGGCAGAAAATCAAACTTCAATTGGTGATAAATTTGGTTTTATTTTGGGGAAATTGTTAATTTGGTGCCTTTTGCATGGTGGTGCCTGGCCATCTTGGCTCCATCCTATGCATTTACATTATATTTGTGATAAGAATATTAATTATATTGAAATCTTTAAAGAATTAAATCCAAATATATACAATTGCATCAAAAAATTAGAATCAGGTGATAACTCACATTTTAAAGATGTTATTGATTATGCTAAACATTACAATGAGAATGTAAGTTAATTCATAATAAATCTTTCTAATTATCCATTCCCATTAAGAACTCAAATATTTATTACACATATTTAGAGAATTTTTCAAATCAATCGGAAGGATATTGCAAACCATATTTCAAAATTTGTAATATTGGATAGTCGAAAAAATGTATTAGATGACCTGAAGAAAGGATTTAATTATTTTGATCAAATCCAGGTATTTAAGAATTTTAAATATAATTATTTTAATTTTAATGATCTATATATTAATTAATTATATTTTTGATGTAGACATTGAGAAACATGAATTTTACAAAAATATTATCTGCTTTATATATTAAATTAGAAGGTAAAATGGTCTGGTGCCAATTTGATCATGTATATAATGAAAAAATCTTTAAAAACGAAAAGGCCAAAAGTGAATTATATACTTTGTTAAAAAATTGGGTTTTAAATCAAAATGAAACAACACTTGATAAATTTTTAAAGTTTATAACTGGTTGTAATCGTTTTCCTGTCAAAGAAAAAATCAAAGTAAATATTTTTCATTATTTTATTGATTTAATATTAACCTCTATCAAACTAAATATCCTATATTGTTATAAAAAGGTCCACTGGAGGGTTAGTAATTCAAAAAAAATGTTAGGACGTATTCCAATGGCAAACACTTGTTCCTGTGTGTTGATTCTATGTGAAAATTTTGAATTATCCGAGGGTGATAAAAAAGCTTTTGAAGAAAGTTTGGTGATTGCATGTGAAAATAATGAAGGATTTTCAGAATCCAGCATAATAAAAATTAATTATGATTACCCAATTTTTCAAGGAATGAATCCATCAACACCTCAAAATCAAAACCATCAACCTTTATATACAAGCAATAATGATAATTTACAATCCAATTTTTCTCATCAACAACAACTACTTAATACATTTGACAATTCACAATCATCAGCTAATTCTAATTTATGTTTTCAACAATCATGCAATATCTTTGATAATCCACAATATAATGTGTCTCATCAACAATTTTTTCCAAATGTTAACTTAAATTTTTCACAACAACCATCCAACAACTTTGTTGAACCACAGTTTAATGTTACTCAACCTTTAGATTACAACTCATTCTCTAGGCTCCAAAATTACAATACTTACAGTTATAATCCTTTAAATCTAACTAATAACCGTCAATTCAATCAGTTTATTAATCAAACTTCAGACAATTTTAACAACAATAAAAAAAGAAAAAAGAATAACAATTAAAATAAATTTATAAGATATGGTTGCTGCTATTTTTTAAAATTGGAAACTGTTTATTTTAAAATTACTATTTTTAGAGTGATAATTCTATTTTTTTTTTTATATATATATATATAAAAAAATATAAAGTTTAAAATATTTTTTTTCTGATTCATTTCATTAAAATTTTAGTTCAATGCAATAAATTTAGTTAACCATTTAAGTCTTACAAATTTAAAATAAAATAAAATATAAACTAAACATATCTTCTATTCAATATTTCTTTAACTTTAGCTATTACATCTAAATAAACATTTATTCCATAATTATTATCTTCTCTATCTATACCCACTGAATTTAATAATTCATGATATTCATTTTGGTTTAAAACATTTCTAGGATCTTCAACAACCACAGCAGCAGCATTATCATCTGAATTTGATGGTATAGGCCCTTCCCAGTCAATCCCATACAGTTCATTGACATTAAAATCTTCCATTCCTCTATATCCACATTCAATCATTCCAGATGTAAATAATTGTAATGGAGTCTGAAAATGTTCAGTACGAATTGAATGATTATTCCACCCATCTACAAATAATTTAAGGCTTTTATTAATACGATTCAAATAAGTTAAATGCAAACAAAATAAATACACATTATTATCAATATCTAATTCAAAATTTTCTTCTAAATATAGAAAAATAGTTTTATATATCTTTAAAACACATCGATTTATATCACCCCATAACCTTTCAATGCGTTGATTATGAACAGAGCGTCCTGCTATAAAACTACCACGTCCATACCCTCTATATCTTTCCATAAATTGCTTTACTAAAGCATTTTCACCACCATGATCTGCCCTTACTCTACTTGGAATACCAAATTGTTCTATTCCTTTTTGAAATTGTGTTAAAACAGTAATGGATTTATTGTTACTACTGCAGTTACAAAAAGTGATCATTCGTGAATAACCATCTATTCCTGCATGCACAACAAATTTCCACCTAATTAGCTTGTGATTTCCATCAATATGCCAAAGTGCATTTGGGCCAGCAACTTGATAAACACGCCTTGGAATTATATTGGACCATCTTTGTACCATTCCCCAAGCATCAACACGATTTAATGACTCACGTAGCCTTTGACGATGAACACGTATTCCTCTTGAACGTAATACACCTGCTATTATTATCTGTCCAGAAAATGGTTGTTCTCTTTGTATGTTTCTGATTTCGTTATCTAAATCATCATTTGATATATTAGTGTATGCTAAATCATCAGGCAAATTCAATTCAATTCTTCTTCTTAAAATTGTTCTATAAGAAACACCAAATATATCTGCAATTCGTATCCATGTATGTCCTTCTTGTCGCAATATTCTAATAATATTTTCATTAATCAATAGTTTTGGTCTTCCTCCATTTTCTTCTCTATATAAAAGAGGTTGTGATGCCTCATTTTGTAAAAGATTGATCCTAGACTCAATCATTTCTTTTAAATTTGATAATTGAATTAATCTATGGTCCACATTATATTGCAAACCCAAATGGACATACATTGAATGCAAAGTTTCAATTTTTTCCAACTGTAATTCCAATGAATTTAAATCTTCACCCTCATGGAGAATACGGGAAGCTATTCTAATTATTTCTTCAGCAAAATTTTCAAAATTTCTTTGTTGTTCATTCATTTTAATATTAATAGGCAATAAAAAATAATTAAGGTGTAAAATTGTTTTAGTATAATGAAATATAGCTTAAATCACTGCAAAATTAAAATCTAGTTTTATTATGTTTGCAATATTTTTTAACTGGCTACAAAATTAAAAGACAATTCAACAACTTAATGATTCAATTAATATAACAAAGCAATTAATATGGAAAGATGTATTCTTTTATTGGGAAGTGCAATATCTGTAAAATAAGAAATATAATTTCTTTATTAATATTTTTTTTTCAATTAGAAATCGATTAATAAATTTGGAAAAATTCATGAATTTTTTTAGTATTTCAATTTAAAATGAAAGGTTTTTCGTTTAAAATGTTAATTGCTAAATTTGTAATGTTTTTTTGAAAAAGTGATCCAATTCATGTGACGCCATTTTAAGTAATATTTGTGACATTTAAGATAAAAAATTTTACATTTTAAATAAATTTTAAATCATTTAAAACAGGGATAAAAATATTTAAAATAAAGCCACCCTCATTTTAAATGTCAAATAATGTAGACTTTTGTCATGGTTGGCGCACCATAACATAAGCCCTCCTTACTTCTAAAAATATATTTCGAAAATTAAATATTTCCTAAACAAGATTTTTTCAACCCCCTTCGGTATATACAAGTTGGACAAGATTTCGTGAAAATATAAATACAATTAATTTTTAATTCGCAATAATTAATAAATAATTTTTTTTCATTAAATTTTTTTAATTTTGTTAATGATATAAGGGAAAAAAATTATTTATTTTTACAAAAAAAAACAAACGCATATAATATACCATTGAACTTTATTCGATTTTTATCTATTATTATTATTATTATTTTACCAAAGGACAAAATGAACAAAACTAGCACAAAAACATTGATAGCACTTTTAGTAGTTCTGATAAGTTTTATTTTCATTGTCGAGTTCACAAGTCCAATTCAATCAATTAATATTGGACATTTACAAAAAAGACAAACTCCGGGTAATTATAATTATCTTTATTTTATATTACGCATTTGATTGATTCTAATTGATTTATTTATTTAAGATTCAACACTTACTATCTAGATTGATTTTTAATTAATTAATTAAATAAATTATTTATTTTTGATTTAGCACCACCACCAGACAACCCACCACCAAAGGATAATCGTAATTATATATTTTTATTTGTTAACTTTTTTCGTTTTTGTTTTTAAAATAAAAAAAAATTGATGTTTATATATTTATTTTATAGCACCACCACCACCAAAGGATAATCGTAATTATATATTTTATTTGTTAACTTTTTTCGTTTTTATTTTTAAATCAAAAAATGATTCTTATAAATATATCTCTTTATTTATTTTATAGCATCACCAGCACCTCGTAATTATTATTTGTTTATTCAGTTTTTTCGTCTTTATTTCTTGGATCAAAAAATGATGTTTTATTATTTATTTATTTCATAGAACCAACACCTGATGCAACACCCAACCCAAATCCATCACCACCTGCTCCAAGTGCACCACAAACACCAGCACCCAACCCAGATGCAACACCAACACCTGATCCAAATGCAACACCAACACCTGATCCAAATGCAACACCAACACCCGATCCAAATGCAACACCAACACCTAATCCAACACCTAGTCCAAATGCACCAGCACCCAACCCAAGTGCACCACCAACACCTGATCCAAATGCACCAACGTCTAATTCAACAACAACTGGTAAGTTTTAAGAAGGGAAATAGCACATATATATAAACAGAGTATATTGGTAGTTGTATCTCGAGATAGATAGATTTAGATTTCATTAAAAATATAATTATAACTATAAATATATACATTATAAATATATAGTTGTTAGTATTACTAGTGATACTACCACTAATACAGTTAGTCCAATTGTCGATAGCTCAGTTGTTACTAACTCAACTGGAACTAATGCTGATACAAATGCCGGTACACACACACATATATATGCTCAAAAGAGAATAAATTTGTTAAAATATATTATTTATGATTTTATTATTTTTCTTTTTACAGGTCCTAGTTCTAGTCCTAACACTGGTGTTACTTCTATATCATCAACAGGTAGTCCTTTCATACAATTAATTACACAATTAATATATTTATATTTATATTTATATTTATATTTACGTTTATATTAATTAGTTTCTCAATCTACTACTACGTCATATCCACCTGGACGAGAACCATGCACAAAAGCTGATGATCCAAGATGTGAACGTAAAACAACAGAGTGAGTGATTTTTGTTTTTAAAAGAAAAATTCATTATTTTCCAACAAATTAATTAAATTTATTGCAAAAAAAAAAAAAAAAAATAGCCCAA